GGTGAGGGGGGAAGCCTGGAAGGAGCGGTGTGTGGCGGGTGTTTAATTAAAGACCTTGCGTGTAGCGCGAGGCCCCGGCAGCTATTGGGGGGGTGGTGAGGTTGGTGGGGGTATGCCAGCGAGGGGTGAAGGTTGGGGAGCTCTGCTCGGCGGCATGGCCATATCTGATCAGCCTGGAGGACCGTGGTGACCCAACGGGGTGCGGAAAATGAGGATTAAATGAGGAGTTGGGAGGTTTGGGTGGCCGGAGGTCCGGCGAGATGGGTGCTGGTACAAGGAGGTGGTGAAAGGGAGGGAGAAGGGATGGGGGGAATGGACGTTAGTGGTTTTTAACGCTCATGATTGAGAGCTTAGAGCCACGTGTAGACTGAGAAAAAAAAAAGAGCAGAGACCCTAACTTTCACAAGCTGAAGTTATCCGTATGGAGTGCAACAGCAAAAAAAGAAAGCAGGAGTGGTGCCAGAGTAGTTTGTGCAGGTGTGTCGCAGGAGCCTTCGGGTTGCAGTTCAGCATCTTTTTATTGTGCATGAGATTTCGATTGTCATCTTGGCGTACTCCCACCGATTCCCGTGCTCCGATGCGAGGTTGAGGTCAGCAGCATCTGTCAAAAATCCCTACCGGAGGCACGCCGCTTCCTGCCCTTGTCTGTCGGCTCTCACACTGGGGCCTGAGCGTCAGCGGAGGGGAGCGCAGAGGAGGAGAAGCTGTAAGCTCCCGTAGAGGGGCTAGGAGGAGCAGAGGAAAGCTTTGTGAGGGGTGAATCCCGAGAAGCAGGAGGTTCTGGTGTGTGAAAGGAGCGTTTTTGAAATGGTTCCTGGTTGTGAACAAAGCGATGAAGGCGTGAAAGCAGTCCTGAACAGCCTTGGGGCAACTGGAGGGAGCTGTCAGCCAGGTTCCTCAGATTCGTTAGAGCAGCGTACCCCGCCGTGCGATCGCGGCAGCAACACCGCAGCCTCTTCCCGCACAGGACTGCCGGGCTCTGCCCGAGAAGGGCCCTGCGAACGTCCAGCTTCTGCCTCCGGCTCAGCCCGAGCGGCAGGTGCCAGGTCTGGACTCATTCCTCATCTCGGGACTTTTCTGGTTCCGGGAGAGGTGGAATCTGGCCGGCAAGGGCTGGTCTGAGTGATGAACTCGTCGTTTGCTCTTGAAGTTTGGGAGGGAACGGGAGCTGCTGGGTGACTTTGAGGGAAAGCGTACATTTAGGAGCTGTTATCATTTCAAATCTAACCTTCTAATTGCCATGTGGATGCATTTTCCACTCCCGCCAGCGAACCAGTTCGGCGTAGACTTTTCTGCTTGGATACTCACCGTTTCGGTTCTCCTCTGCATCAGGGCATTGGTGTGGATCGGGGCTTTGGGGAAGGAATTGCGGCCAGCTGCCCACCTCAAACCCTGCTAGGGGACAAGCGTTAGAACTTCCCCATTTGTTTGTGTCCTGGAAAGCGAAGGAGACAGAGTGAAGCGTTGTGGCTGGTGCAGGGCCCGAAGCCCGCAGCCGGGCGGGAGGGGGGTTGGAAGCATCAGCTCCGTGTTTCCTTTGTGCCAAACAACAACACCCCCCTGGCAGCCCCCGCGTGTGTCATCCGAGGTGGCAGGTCAATTAAAGTGGGGTCAGCTGAGATCAAAGTTGCTGCTGCACACGGCGGTGACAACGAGGGGAAGAGAGGTTTTGTTGCCTTCAAAAAGCCTGAGAAAGTGCATTTACCTTGCGCTCTTTTGAAACGGGGTTTCCAGCGGTTTATGGTAGCTCTTTCAAGCTGCAGGAGGAAATTCCAGCTGCTGTGCTCTTACGCTGTTAAGGCTTTGTTAACCTTTTTTTCCTTTTTCTTTCTTCTCTTGTAGATTATAGTACCTATAGCCAAGCTGCGGCTCAGCAGGGGTAAGTAGCATTGTGGTCTTATCCTCTCGGTGTGAAAGAGATGTAATATGAGTATATAATAATGGTGGCTTGGTCTGAACTCGGGTGTGTGTGTAAATCCTGCGGTTTGCCTGTAGCCTGTAGATTTTATGTTCCCGTAGCATTTCAGCAGAAGTCATTTGGATGTGTGAAAAGGGTCTTGCGCTACATGTTTTGCGCAAGTCGGAAACAGGGGGACGCGTTATAAATGTCTTTAAATTCATTTTGCAGCTACAGCGCGTATGCACCTCAGCCAGCTCAAGGATACGCACAGACCACCCAGGTAAAACGCGGGACGGCGTGAGCGTTGCTGCTGAATCGCGCGTAGGCTACGCAGGGCTCTGCCGGCCGGGGACAACCCTGAGCGGCAGCGTCAGGAGCTGTCGTTGAAAGTTGGCTTGCAGCTTCCCACACCGCCCAGACTGCTGCCTTAAAGTGGAAACACGCGTCGGGGAGCCTCCGCGGTCCCCTTCTTTGTTAATGTATCCAAGCCAAAGGGGTTTGTTGTGGAGAGGATTGTAGAAGCCTAATTCTCGGTGTGTGGTTGACACCACCCTGTTGGTGGGTGTTTTATTCAGCGATGTAGGAGAGGAAAAACCTGGGAAAAGAAAAAAAAGGGAAGGAAATCACCATTTGTGAGATTGCAGTGGTTGGACAAAGGAGGAGGAGGGGATAGATTTTTCATGGAGGGATTGTTACTAAAACTATTAGTACTCTCAGTTGGCTAAACGGCAAGATGGTGATGATTTTTAAGAGATTAATTAAACCATGCTTATTTTTAATCCTTAGAATCCAAATTACTAAGCCCACATTTGTATACACCCTTCAAGTATGTTTTCAAAGGTAAACTTTTGTCCTCAAAAAGTGGTGTAGGTTATTTTTCCGCCCTGTCTCCAGAGAGCCCTTTGAAGGGAAAATCCTGCTGCCCAAGAGTATGTCCGTGTTACGGGGACAGAAACCACCGCATTGTCGTGCTGGAACGTTACTGAGCAGCTTTTAATCGGTTATTTCTGGCTGCGGCAACAGCTTGGCCTTGGTGCCGCGGGGCTGAGCGGGAGCTGCCTGCCTGAGCCCGCTCCGTCTCCTGCTGCCACGCTGCCTGCTGCTGCCTACGCTGGCTGGTCCAAGGCGGGCGAGGCAGCGTGAGCTCCGCAATTCAAGGCCCTTTGTCAAAAATATCGGCGTCACGGGAGGAGCACGGCCTCAGTCTTGGCATTTAGGTCGGCTTAAATGAAGTTGACGGTACCTTTTTATTTTGAATAAACATTTTGAGACAGAACGATTGCAAGAACTGCTACCAAACGTGCAGGCTGCATGGAGAGACAAGTGGCCTCAACAACATCGTCTGGTCAGAGGCTGAGACACCTGACCGGCTAAACCCGGCTGCTTTGCAGTGCTCCCTCCAGGACGGAGCTGGGCAGTGGGCAGGCGCGCCCTTCGGTGACAGCCTAGGCTTGAAATCGAGCCCCGGGGAAGGCGCGAGCTGAATGCGAAGGCTCCCAGTGGGGAGCAGCTGGAAGCGGGGTGTGGTGACAGCAGGCCCTCGGATGCTCCCGCTGGTCCCGTCCTCGGGTGCCTGCGTAAACTCCTGCTTTTCAAACTGTTGGTTGGTGGGCATGAAGAATATTCAGAATAACTTTTAAAATTGAAATTTGAAAGCTTAGATAGGTTTCTTCTAGTGAACGCCACAGCGGTCTTATGTTGAAGTAGCTGGCTTGTTTTACTTTGCGCGGCTCTGCCCTCCGAGTAGTCCTGCTCCCCGTGTTAGCCCTCGGGAGGTGCCTGTGGGTGTTGGTGGGTGCTCAGGCGGGTGCGAGGAGCTGGGTGCTTTCACATTCTGTTTTACGTAGAGCGGAGGTGTGTTGGGAGCGTGTCAGGGGCTGGCCCTCCAGTCCTGGCACTGAAAAACTGCATTGGTCACCTCATCACAGATCTGAACTGAAATGTGCAGCAGGCCCCAAACTTTCGCAGCAGCCCCCAAACTTTCGCAGCAGCGCCCAGACTTTCGCAGCAGCCCCCAAACTTTTGCAGTAACCTTGGCTTGACTGGTTGCTCTCAGCAGGTCGGGTAACACAGATCCCCCGGTCTGTGTACAGCGCTGGAACAGTCTGTGTGTGTCTCTGCAACGCCTCTGAGTCACTTCTGTTCATGAATTAAATTTGTGTCATCTTTGGAGCAGACGTATGGGCAGAGTTACGGAACCTACGGACAACCCACCGACGTCAGCTACACACAGCCCCAGACGACTGCAACGTACGGGCAGACTGCGTATGCGACGTCCTACGGGCAGCCTCCTGCCGGTAAGAGCCCCCGGGCCTGCCGGGCTCGGCTTACCCTGGGGAGAGAGCTGAGCTCAAGTCAGCGTTGGGCGAACCCTTTCCCAAACTGCGCTGAATCCCTCTGGGCAGCTCTGACGTGGGAGGAGCTTCCTTCCTCAAGAGCCCGCCCAGAGCGACGGGCAGCTTGCAGCGGTGGGGAGATGCGGGGGGCCTGGGAGGGGGGAATAAACACGCCTGTAATTTCTCAGGGAACGTTTTGGGTGCTGGTTTGCGTTGTGAAACGGAACGTGGCTGCAGAGCATGGCGTGCTTGGAGCAGAGCGAATGCGAGTGGTGCGGCGGTGCTCCCTGCAAGTGTCTGCTCGGCTGCTCTTGGGAACTGGTGTCCTCAGTGCCTCGCTTGTCTGAAAATCAGACCCGTGGAAGCGATGCGTGCCTGTTCCGATAGCGCACCCTCCGCTTTCTGTCTTGCGCTTCCCACGGTGAAAGGGCCCAGTACAGGTCTGACTGCCCTGCTCACTCTTGCCTGGAAAATGCTGTCTCATCCTGTCTAAACTTGCAGTGTTAACCCTTTAGGTGTCACTTGATTTTAGCGCTAAAAACATCCAGTGTTGGAGCATGCGCACGCTGGTGGTAAGAATTTGCTGGACCGCCGTGCTGTTTGCCCCGTCCCTGTCTCCGTAACGTCTCCGAGTGGCGTGCTTCGCGGGTAGAAAGTCCTGAGCACCGGTGCCAGCCACGCCGCGGCGTTCGGGTGAATCTAACCCCCTTGTCCTGACGTTCCGTAAAGACCAAATGGCACGGTTGGGCGCGTCCAGGCGTCCTTGCTGCCACCTTTGCGTGTGCCGTGGTGTTTTTGGGTTTCCGGTGTGGCCACACACGCCGCATGGTCGTTAACGCGCTGTGAGTGTTCCAGCATGTGCTCTTTGAGCTGGAGCTTTGTACGTACGAGAGTCGCGAGGTCTGAAAGAGACTGTCGAGACATTGTTCGATTCTGGCGTATTCGGGAGACTTCGCAAAAGAAAACAAGTTTTCCTCCAGGCAGCGCCTTGGGTACCGCTCTCTGCGGGTTCGTCTGTTGCTGTGCGAGACATCGTCGGCATCTGTTTGAGCCGGAGCTTGCCGAGGTGCTTCCCAGAGCAAGGGAGTGCCGGGACAGGCAGGCGATGGGGTGGCTGGCGGCGGGAGCCACTGAGGAGCCGAGCTTCCCAGGGAGGAGCTGAGAGAAGATGTTCACCTCTAGTCTAACCAGTTATGTGACACTTAAAATATTTAACGTCTTAACACAGGCGAGGGAAATCTCTGCCTGGTAGTTCGTGTGTGCCCGGCAGAACAAGTGACGGTACCCTTTAGCCAGCGTCTCTGCAGCTTATCCATAGGTTTTTTTTCCGTTCATCTATAAGTTTATGGACATAAATTTGCAACAAAAAAGACTTGTAGACTTAAACATTCCTTTCTTATGAATATTTGAGTCCCTGAGTCCTTACTACAGACTCCAGTCCTGCCGGGGCCACAGGAAGCTGCGCGGTTCATGTTTTCGCTTGTCCCTTAAGAGTGTATTTGCTGGAGGAATAATAATACTGGGCATCCTTTCTGCACAGCTGCTTTTTTTTAGGCAATAAAGCTTCATTTTCTTTTCATCAAAGAAAAAAAAAAAGCTCGGGAAGCGGTCAAGCCAAAGATCAGGTGTGATGTGCCCCAGTTGGGCACGCAGTGATCTGCAGCGGAGCTGCCGGTGTCTCTCTCCGGGCAGCGTCCCAGGCTGTGTTTGTTCTTCCTACGCCTGCCTCTGCTTGAGCAGCCGGAGCTGTGCCGAGGAGACCGGGGGTGCTTACAGCCCGTCTGCCGCTCCCGGTCGCTGCCTTTCGTACTGAATGAAGCCCGGGGTGCTGCCTGGGGCACGCGTCTTCATGTCCTGAGAGACGTGCAGCTTTTACAGCTGAATCTCATTTTATTTTTCCCAGGCATCGCCTTTTTCGTAGCAGAGGGATGCCTGCGATTACTTAAAAGCACAGTGCCTGTTTTTGGCTGAACAGCCTATTTTTGGGGCAAGATGCCGTTGCGGTCAGGGAGGTTGAAACCCTGTGTGGGTGCACCCTCTCCGGACTGCAGAAAGGGCAGAAGTGGTTCCTCTGCACCGCCTCTGAGCCTTGGAGGAGGGCTGCTGTGGCTGGTCCAGCCTACCCGGGGACCTTTCCGTCCCCAGCACTCTGCCGTCTGACTTCGGGGCCGCCCGAGGTGCAGGTTACCGTGCGGGTTGCCCTGTGTCCCTCCCCAGGGTGTCTCGAGTTGCCCCGTCGGTTTAGCAGAGAATGGTGAATGTTGGAAAAGACCTCTGAGATCATCAAGTCCGGCCGCCAGCCGGATCGGCGGATTAATGGGTGGTCGTGCCTTGCTCGTTAATCGCTGCGGGGTGTAAGCGTGGATTACAAGCCTAGATAGAGAGCGGCGTCTGTTAGGGCTGTTGGCTTTCGAACAGCATTGTTTGGGGGCAAGAACATTGTTTCAAAGGGCTGAGTGTGAATCTCTAGGTAGCTAAGTGGGAGTTACGCTCTGAAGACAGCCAGCCCCCACTTCTCTCTTTACCTGTGGAGTTCAGGGTTACGTATATTAGAAGTTTTGGACGTGTTCAGAATTTGAAACGAGCGCAGCTGCAGCTGGGTTGGCTGCCACAGCAATCTGTTACACCGAAACGGGGCGGAGAGCAGGCAGCATCTTCGTCCCCTGCCCCGGATCCTCACCCGTGCCAAAGAAGAGTCGTCTCTCGGGGCACATGGACCCCGCGGGCACTGTTTGGTACTGCTTGCAGCAGAGAGAAACCTTCAAAAACCACTGCTAGCTGACGTGAAGCCTGCTCGTTTCAGAGTAGATCTCTCTTAGTCCAGTCTTGTCAGTTGATGTGCTCTGAGGACCAAATCCCGCAGGCTTCCCCTCCGCCTGAAGATGTCCTAGACCTCAGTAAGGGTTTTGCTTGCAGGCTCGGACGCTTTGAGGGGAAACCGAACCACGTGAGTGGACGTCGGCAGGTTGTCAGAGCTCTTGTCTTACCTTTTTCTTACAGTGTCTGTCCTGCAGGCCTGCCGTTCGTCTTACTGACGGGCGGGGGGAGGAGAGAGGAACAACGTAATGTCAGTTCTCCCCTTGAAAATACAGCTCTTGGGTGTTTTCAGAGTAGCCAGACTGAGTTGTTGAGGTGAAAATGTAGACCAGTGGGATGTTAAATCACTGCCTTCTCTTGCTTCGGTACAAACCC